ATTTTAAAGGTGCTTCTTCCGGGCTATTGGCTTTTTTCTTAAAGCATCTGCTTCAAAAAAACATTTGTCATTATAAATACTTTTTCTGCCACTGTGAAATGCACTTAAATCTCCTAGCTTCCTAACCATTTTACAAGACTTTCTCATGGACCTGGAAAACATCTCTTGAAATTGAAGGAGATAGCACCCACCTCTCAGCGTATGGAAGTGTGGGTGACTAACTTTTATGGATGTCAATTAGCAGACACAGATGGCCTAATCTCAGAGAAAAACACTCACAATCTCAGGAATAATTCAATGTGCTCCACACACATTCCATCAATCACCTTGTCCACTGAAATCCTCCAATGCTTTCCAGAAGGTAACCCCAATGCTTGGACCCATAACACCCCACTCTAACATCCAAACTCATGCCTGCCTTTTGTTTTAGCAGAGAAGAATTTCCATACTTGGTTGGTGCTCTCTCCTCTACTGATAGCAATAGAATCAAGGGAAAAAAATCAACTGTTCATTTCTTTTGTCCAGAACAATTTTAACATCATACACAATCAAACATCCCAGCAAAATCAACATGAAAACAATGGTGTTAGTTTTAAAACATACCCTCACATCTGGAAAGTGAGGATGAATTCAACAACTTAAACCAAAACCACGATCAACATAAGCTTCTTTAACTCAACTTCTGCTTCAGGACTCCAGTGGCTCTCCCCTTTAGGTCTAGAGATAGTAACAATTGCCATTACTGGCCATAAGAAACCATGCTGCTACTTCAGAACTTTTACTGACTACACTCTTATCGATTGTACCTTTGTAAAGAGGCCCTTCTCAAATTATATTGATTTGAATAGACCATCTGTTCCTGAGTGAAACTCTATGTAACACAATGCTGGTTAGATTTTGCAACACAGGGGTCCTTAGAAAGAGTGACTTCATTATAGTGACAGCCCATGGACTAAAGAGATGAGGAAGTGAAGGTGATATGTAAAGATATCTCTTATAAGAGGTCAAGTCAGTGAAAGGCTTTAGGAATACAACTGTGTGCTTACACATAAGGGAGAAAACATCATTGTATTAATTTTGTGTTGGTGTAAACAAATACCTAGGAGAAATAACTTAAAGAGAAGAATTACTTATCTCCGCTCCTAGTTTCGGCTATTTAAACATGCAGTCCTCACCTCAGTTGATTCTGGACCTAAGAAAGGCAGAACAACATGTCCATAGGAGCATGCAACAAAGACTCCTAACCTCATGGTGGGCAAGAAACGGGTGGGTGGGAGAAGGGACAGGAAACCAGGGATTTAACTTTCAAAGTCACACCCTTGTTTGTCTACTTCCTCTAGCAAGGCCCATTTCCTAAAGTTTCTACCACTTCCCAAAACAGCATCACTAACTGGCAACCAAGCATTCAATACATTAGCCTGAGAGAGACATTTGATATTCAAACCATAACAACTTCCTATCACAAATTAAAACAGGCAGAATTGTCCATTTAGCCTACCTACTGGAGTTAGGTCTATTCCTAGAAATTACAGAAACTAGCCTCCATGGTGACTAGGGGAATTTCCTTGCTGAAGTGAGACAATGACCAGGTTTGGTAGTACTGAGACAACAATGAAGAACGCTATGGAAGGTCAGACTAGGCGAGGGTCCAATGGAGTCATTAATCATCAAAACTCCAGGAGTGGTAGGGAGAGGAAAATGATATGTTCTCTGTAATAAAGCCAAAGAAAAGCAGCAATATCCATGAAAGACAAAGGAAGATTCAACCCAAGAGCATCCTCAAATCGTTATCTTTTTTTTTTTTTTTGGTCGGTTGTGGGGCCTGAACTCTGGGCCTGCTGGATGCTGTCCCTCAGCTCTTCAGCTCAAGGCTAGCGCTCTACCACTTAAGCCACAGTGCCACTACTGGCTTTTTCTGCTTATGTGGTGCTGAGGAACCGAACCCAGGGGCCTCATGCATGCAAGGCAAGCACTCTACCACTGAGCCACCTTCCCAGCCCTCAAGTCTTCTTCTATAATAGCAAATAAACCAGCTGATGATAGGAATGACCTAGCATTATAGTTTAGATATAAATCAGAGGTTTATAGATCATGTGGTTGCTAATATCACCAGTTGATTAATTCTCTGATGAGTTCATAGCTCAAGGGGCAATTCGTAGGTAGAGTCTAGTTAAAAGAAGTGGATCACTGGAAGTATGTCCACTAAAGGGTATATTTTATCCCCAGACCCTTCTTCTTCCTCTCTTTCTGCTTCCTAGATGCCATGAGATGAATGGTTCTCTACTATATCCTCTCTACCATCATGCTCTCTACCATCACAAAATTGTAAATCACAACAAATCTTTCCTCCCTGAAGTTGTTTTTCTCAGGTATTTCAGCACAGCAATGAAAACTTACCACATATAATATGGCAACCATGACTATACTAGGAGAGTAGAACAGGTTGCTGAGAGGCTGAAAAACATAGCATATGAGGCACTGGGGTTGTAGAACCTTATTAACAGAGAACACCCCAGTACTGCACCAGGAAGTTCAGATGTAGTCAGCAGGGTGAGTAGTATTTAACCTTTCCATGGTGTTTGGCCTGTGACAGTGCTTTTCCTCTGTACAGCACTTGTCTGGGAAGTCTAGAGGTGGTTCGCTGAATGATTGGTTATCCTCATCTTAGGAAACCCTTGGATCAGGATGCATCCTCTTCCCCACTATTCTTAGTCCAGAGAGGACTAATTCAGGGAGCAGGGAGGTCAAAAAATCTTTGTCCTTCCTGAATTCTCTATATATACTACATCTGCTCATGACTATGGTAGATTATTAAATCCCAATATAAATCAAGCCTCAATGTACATAGAAACTTGCAGAGAAATTGGGGGGGGGGAACTAGTAGAGAATTAGAAGAAACAGGAAATCAGAAGGACCTAAATGAGTGGTGTGAGGTCTGTGTGTGTGTCTGTGTGTCTGTGTCTATGTCTATGTGTACATGATTATCATAACTTTTTTTCTGTCGGTTGTGGGGCTTGAACTCTGGGCCTGGGCACATGCGCTCTTCAGCTCAAGGCTAGTGCTCTACCTCTTGAGCCACAGTGCCACTTCTGGTTTTCTAGTGGTTTATTGGAGATAAGAGTCTCACAGACTTTTCTGCCTGGGCTGGCTTTGAACTATGATCCTCAGCTCTCAGCCTCCTGAGTAGCTAGGATTACAGGAGTGAGCAACTGGCGCCCAGCTATCATAAAACTTTATTGATCATAAATATAATATTTAACAATGAAGGGACGATAGGTCAATAACTTCATCAACAATTCAATTCATATCCACATTTAGCCCTATGCTATATTGCTAGAATTGTATTAAGTATAACATATTCTCTGTGATCACAGAATTAAAGTTCTGATGGTTCCATAAACAAAGTAACTAATATTCAGTTGAAACCATAAATATCATTGCTGTAGAAACACAAAGGCTCATAATTTTCTCTAATTTAGGGAGGCTGGTGACAACTTCAAAAAGAAACTGACATCAGTACTCTATACTGATAGAAATGTGTGATCTTGATTATTCTCTGTGACACTTGAGCACCCTTGAGTTTTTTTACTCAATGTTAGTGCTCTACCACTTGAGCCACAGTTCCATTTCCGGGTTAATGTTAACTGAAGATAAGAGTCTTTCAGACTTTTCTACCAGGGCTGACTCTGAACCATGATCCACAGATCTCAGCCTAGAATTACAGGTATAAGCCACCAGTGGTCAGCTTACCCCTGCATTTTATTTTTTTTAATGTTTAACTATTATTTTTTATTACTATTGTTTTAAATAAGTTTTTTATTGTGAAAATAACATACTGAGGGGTTACAATTACATGAGCAAGGTAATGAGTACATTTCTTATCAAGCATTGTTGCCTCCTCCTTTGTTTTTCCCCTACCATCCCTCCCTCCGCCCCCACCAAAGTTGTACCTCTTACCTTGTCTCTACCCCTGCATTTTAAACAGAGATCACTACAGCCTTAGCTACTGTTTGTCATATGAGAGCAAATGAGGAAATGCAACAAAGCACTCAACATGGCTTCAAGCATACATTCATCTCTTGATAAACAGGGACTGTTACTATAATTGTACTATCCATGTTTCCCATTGCTGTGACAAAATATCTGACATAAATAATTTAAGTACATTTTTATATATGTAATAATGGGTATCTACTACATACCTCTATGCCATGCCTCTAATCCTGTTTTCTACCTGTTATAAAAATAGCTGTAACCTTCATTCTCCCCTGGGCATACACCTGAAGTACAATCTGCCTTTATTTATTATCAGGTATTTTTAATGCAGTTATGGTACAAGCATGAAAAATTTCAAAGAATTTATAGTCAATTGAGGGTACAAATAAATGTGCAGCTCATTACAATTCACTGTGCATAGTTATAACTATGTGTAAAATGCACAAGACATCCGAAGGTAGAATCCTTAACTTCTCTGGAGAAATTAGGAGAGACTTCAATTCACATTGAAGGCTACTCTTGAATTAAAATTTAAAGAATGAGATAAAAGGCGTATGAGACTGTTCTTTGAAAACACCTAGTATCATAGAAGGTAGTGGAGAGCTACTTAATTTTGTATAAAGAATCCAAGCACATTTGGGGATTTACAAAGGAAAATAATGTTAAGTGATAATTATTTTTTATACATTTTGTCTGTAACTTTTACTTCATGTGAAGTTCAGTTCCCTGTGCTTCTGAAGAATGTCTAATTTACTTAGGACACCAAATGCTCAAACCAGAGAGCATGTACCCATAGTTGTCATTTGTGAGTTGGAACGTATTAACAGAAAAGAGGAAACAAAGGCTTGGGAGAAAAAGATGAAAAGTTAGAGGAGAACACAGGAAAGGTAGTGAGATGAAAAGAATGAATTAGAAAGAAAGAAAACCCATCTAAGTACAGGAAATATCTGCCTTCCACATCTACTTTCCTTGATGAAGCTGGGAAAGAAGACTCCTGGGGACCATCAGCCCAGGGCAGGCGAAAAACACCAAGTCTTGATGTCAAAGAACCAATGAGCTACCCCCTCCCGGATCTGCTTTGTCTTCACACCATAGACAATGGGGTTGAGCATTGGCGGCACCACCACATAAAGATTGGCCAAGAGAATATGGACATGTCGAGGAATGTTGCGCCCAAAACGATGTGTCAGTAAGGTAAAGAAGGAAGGAACATAAAACATGAGGATGACGCAGAGGTGGGACCCGCAAGTGCTGAGGGCCTTGTGCCGAGCATCCTGGGAAGGCAAACGAAACACCGCACGGAGGATGAGTGAATAAGACACAGCAATGAGGATCACATCCAAGATGACCATCACAATGGGCACCGAGAAGCCATACCAGATATTAACAGTGATGTCAGCACAAGCTAAACGAGCCACTCCGATATGCTCGCAGTACGAATGGGGGACGATGTTAGTCCGACAGAAGGGCAGCCGCTTCAGCAAGAAGATCACCGGGAAGATGATACAGAAGCTTCGGATGACAATGGCCAGAGCAAGCCTGCGGACAGTAGGCCATGTTAACACCGTTGTGTATCTCAGTGGGGCACAGATGGCCACAAAGCGGTCAAAGGCCATGGCTAACAGGATAGCTGACTCCCCCACAAACATTGTGTGCACAAAGAACACTTGAGTGACACAGGCATCAAAGGCAATGTTGTGAGCATGGAGCCAAAAGATGGCCAGAGCCTTGGGCACCGTGGTGCTGGATAGCAGGATGTCTGTGATGGCCAACATGGAGAGGAAGAAATACATGGGCTCGTGAAGGCTACGTTCTGTGACGATGACCACGATCAAGATGCTGTTCCCCAGGACTGCAGTGACATACATGAAGCAAAGGGGGACAGACAACCACACGTGATACACCTCCAACCCAGGGATGCCAAGTAGGACAAAAACAGTGGGATGGAAGATGGTAATGTTGGTGTTAGTCATGATGCACACTACAGTCTTTTGTACACTGGCTCAGAAGCCGATGAGTCCACTGAAAATGATAGGAAAGCACCACTGAGATTATACAGAAATCACAAAAGATGGGGTCAATTTCCAAAAACTGCTGGACTCTCCTAGAGAATGCACACTGGGGTGTAGAAACAGCCTTGGGCCCACAGTGTTTCATTTGCCTATAGAGTTTCTGTGGTTACACTGTTTAAAAATCCAACAAAGGCTATACCTGCCTCCAATCACCCCATAAGAGGACCTCACAATACCTTTCTACCATTCATTCTACCATTTCTACACCAGCACTGTCTGCCCCCTACTCATGCTGTTCTTGTCCTTTTCCCAAAGCTATTAGGCTGTGCCTACTTAAATTTCCATGTTTCCACTTGTTTAGCCAAATCTTAATCACAAATTACCTCCTTCAGATATACCACTTTGAAATGTGTTCCTAAAAATGTATCTCCTGGGATGGGAATGTGGCTTAGTGGTAGAGTGCCTGCTTAGCATGCATGAAGCCCTGGGTTCGATTCCTCAGTACCACATAAACAGAAAAAGCCAGAAGTGGTGCTGTGTCTCAAGTGGTAGAGCACTAGCCTTGAGCACAGAGAGGCTCAAGGATAGAACCCAGGCCCTGAGTCCAAGCCCCAGGACTGGCCAAAAAAAGAAAAAATTGAAAACCTATTAGCCATACTTTAACTTGACTATATTTAGTCATATTAAGTTTGCTGGATCTTGAGTATTTCTTAGAATACTTGAATTTGTGATTCCATGTGCATTGAAGAGTACCAAGTAGAAATCTGGAAAGGACCAAAAGAATGTATTTATCAGCACTGATCCGGATTCAGATCTTTCTTAAAAAATGTGGTGGGTGGTGAAACCAATAGAATCATTATTTATCACCTTATAAACTCCTTATAATCCTTCCCAGATAGTTCCACATAACCACACAAATAGCTCTTGATTGTGTCTAGACAGACTTACCCATAAAACGATTCAAAACAACAGCACTTCTGAGAAAATGGAATCAGTACATTCTGTCCCCCTTCCCTTTACTTGCTCCACTAACACATTCTCCTTCCCACCTTATTTGTTCTGAAACCCTCAGAAAGACTCAGGTTTCCTTGCTACTGAAATCTATTCAATAAGTGCCAGGCACCATTGACATATGTCTGTATCTACTGGGGACATGGAGACCAAGAAGATCTGGGTTCCAAGACAGCCTAAAGCAAGAAAAAAAAAGTTTGTAAGATTCCCCATCTCAATTGAAAAAGCTGGGCACAGTGGCCTGTGCCTATCATCCTAGCTATTCAGGAAGAATAAGAGGAGGATCAGGGTCTAGGCTGGCCTACACAAAAAAGAAGATCCTATCTTAAAAATATCCAACAGAAAAGGATTTAGATTCATAGAATGCCTGCCTAGCCATCTCAAAGCCCTAAGTTCAAACCCTACACCATCAAAACAAAAAGTGTTAAACATAAAACTTTGCTATCCTAGTTTTCCCACAACTCATACAATAATTATCTCTCTACAGCTAGATATAAACTATTAGAAGTAGGGAAGGGATTATTGATCAAGATTCTTAAAGAAGCAAGGCACTAGTGGTTCATCACTGTAATCTCAGATACTCAGGAGGCTGAGATCCAGAGGATGGTTCAAAGCCAGCCTGTGCAGAAAAGTTCCCTATTCTCCATCTCCAAAATAATCAAGAAAAAGGAGTATACGTATTCTCAAGTGGTAATGTGCCCATCAAACAAACAAACCTAGAAAGCAGGAAACCTTGAGTTCAAACTCTAGTAACAGAGAGAGAAAGAGAGAGAGAGAGAGAGAAAGAGACAAGTAAAGAGAAAATTAAGTATATAAAGGTATCAAATTAATAAATACTAGCTGTATCTTCTAATAAAGGTGTTCAGATCGCTTCATGGAGGAAGTCATATAAAAGAATGAAATCCTCAATTAATGAGCCCATCCCTCTACTTCTATGCAAATGCCTTTTCTCAGAGCATAATGGATTGTGAGGAGGGAACAATCCCATCCCAGGGAACAAGGAAGGGAACAGGGTCAAAATCTAAGAAGAAATTAGGCAGGCAAGATAATACAGTCCTAGTCAGTATATTTTTAATATCTATTCAACTTTTACTTAGAACAAAGACTGAACTTTTCTGGGATAGGCATAGACAGGAAGGACCCCTGTTAACATTTTCTTTGCCTCTATTTTATAAAGCACTGAACTCAAATTTACAGAAACAAAAATCTCTACTAGAAATCAAAGTCATTTTCCACAGAAGGAAATTTATTGGACATTTCTTACTGCTTCCCCATACCTCATTCATTAGTAATGTATCCTTTCTCAATAACACAGTATGACTACTCATGTAAATTCTCATAAAAGCAACCCTCAATCTCTGCTTACCGCTCTAATGATACCATATCACCCCAATAGTGAGATTCCAAAGTCAGGATGGGGCGTGAGACAGTAAGGGATGGACAGCTGGTCATGAAGTTCTAGAAAAAGATTACTGCCTGTAGGAAGGACTTTCATGTCACTCAGTGGGTTTTCAGCAAACTTCCTCTCAGCTGGCTGTTGCTCTGCCAAACACCTTTGGAGGATTCTAGACTCATGGAGAAAGAAGAAAGGGATGAGAAGAAAAAACAAAATACATACGTATTAAAAAGTACATCCAACGTCTCATAGAAAGTAACTCCCCAGAGTTCTCAGAGAATTGTCATCAGAATGACAAAAAAGCCCAGATTGGAAAGAAAGAGAATATAGGCAGGGAAGGTGGCTTAATGGTAGAGTGCTTGTCTAGCATGCATGAAGCCCTGGGTTTGATTCCTCAGTACCACATACACAGAAAAAGGCAGAAGTGGCACTGTGGCTCAAGTGGTAGAGTGCTATCCTTGAGTAAAAGATCAAGGACAGTGCCCAGGCCCTGAGTTCAAGCCCCAGGACAAAAAAGAAAGAAAGAAAGAAAGAAAGAAAGAAAGAAAGAAAGAAAGAAAGAAAGAAAGAAAGAAAGAAAGAAAGAAAGAAAGAAAGAAAGAAAGGAAGGAAGAAAGGAAGGAAGAAAGGAAGGAAAGAAAGAAAGAGGAAGGAAGGAAGGAAGGGAAGGAAGGAAAGAAAGAAAGAAAGAAAGAGAAAGAGAAAAAGGAGACTTTAAGTTATAGTCAGACACCCTGAGCTCTTTTCCCAGTCATTCCTGACTAGCAAGGCAAGCTCAGCAGAGGTACTTTACTTCTACACAACTTTCTTTTTTCTTTTTCTTCATTTGTATGATACAGGCAATAGTAAACCACAGCAGATAATTTTGAGAATTAAAAGAGCGTATCCATCCATATAAAGTGTTCATAAAGGCAGGAATTATTGTTATTTTATTGTCCTCATCATTTATCTGTTTGGATGCCATTTTATTTTTTTTCTTTTAAGCAAAGCATCTTAATGAATAGTTAGTTAAAGCCCTATTTTTCACCCAACTCTGACCAAAGGAAATTCCTTTTCTCCAAAGAGGTTAAGAGTAGAAACATAAATGAAAGAAGTATCCAAGGAGAGAAAAGTAGCCTGAGAACAGGTCTCTCAGAAGAACTTGGTGTCTCTGATCCTAGACCTGAAGGCTTCAGGTGCACTCAGAAGGTCCAGCAGTGATGCACTTAGATGAGCTCAGAACATCCCAGCAGACTGCCTTATAGTGCTCTGAAAAACACCCACTATCTCAGCAGAAAGAGAGAAATCACCTCAGTTATTGAGAGAAGCCCCAGGGACACTGTGGTGTGAGAGAAGTAGCTTCAGGCATAACCAAAAAACCTGGAGTGGAAACTACAGTAATTTCAAGAGCAGGCTAAGGAAAAACAGACACTTGCCTATCGCCCCTCGCCTGTTTCTTTTCTCTCTTTCTTTTCTTCTCCATATCTTCTTCTCAGTATCTTCTTCAAACCTTGCAAGTCCTACCCAGCTGTCATTTTTGGTAATGCCAGCTCCCTCTTCAGGGAGTTTCATAAAGAAACAAATGATCACAAATGCTGGCAAGGACGCAGCCAAAAGGGAACCCCTAATGCACTGTTGGTGGGGATGGAAACTTGTTCAACCACTCTGGAAAGCAGTATGAAGGTTCCTCAAAAAATGAAACATAGAATTACCCTATGATCCAGCAATTCCACTCCTCAGCATTTACCCAAAAGATTCAAACCAGGATACAGCCAGCAGCATGTTTATTGTTTTACTTTTGTCATTAACCTGTATTAACTGTACAAATTAATGTGATTCAGTATAATAATATATATATGTATAAAGTGTGATGTCAAAACTTGTAAATGGCTTACCTTTTCATATATTGGAGCAAAATCAGATTTATACCTCACCCTTGATCACAGGCACTTAACAACATCATGTAAAGTGTTTTCACAATCTAAAACTAGTGTTACACATGCTGAAAGGCACTAAGATTGCCTTAAGATAATGAAATACTCTTAATAGTGAATCCATGGGTCTTGAAATTATTTCTAATTAACCAATAAGAAATGTATATGTTCAGTGTATACAATATATTTTGATATGTGTAAAATACACTGTGACATAGCTAAACAAAGTTACTTATCATGTATATTATTTCACACATTTATTATTTTATGGAAGAAAACATAAAGTCTACACTCAGCAATTTTCAGTAAATATTATGTTATTGACTAATGTCACTATAATATAAAATAGATCTCTTGAATTTACTCTTCCTGCTTAACTGAAATGTTATGTGTCCTGACCAACATGTCTGCAGTCTGTCCCTGCCCCAGCCTCTGGCAGTTATTATGACTCAAGAAAATGTCCACCTCCGGTATAATTTGTGGAGGGGAAGGGGAAAAACAAGTCGTTTAAATAAGGATACAGGTGGACCCGTTGCAGCAATGAGAAGTACAAGTTGTCATGTCAAAAATGAACTTTACAACTCTGGTGTGTGTGGGGGGGGAGGATTGGGTGGGGGAGAGCAAGGGGGAGGCTGGGAAGG